ATGTGTAACCGATGTGATCCTGCAATCTTTGTAACGTTTTGAATAACCAATAAAAAAAAAAAAAGAAAAATGACATCCCTGTCCTCAAGGTTCTCACTGTGGCAGAGGAGATGCAAAGCCACTGTTAACACCTGATGTGTTGCAGCTGTCATACAGGAAAGGAATACGTGCTGTAGGGCACTAACAAAGAGAGCAAGTGGACTACTGGGGCTGTGGAGGCCACAGACATCAGGAGAGCGCTCTAATGTGCAGCTACAGTGTTCTACGTTCAGTGGGACCAGTCCAACTCCTCATCTGATGACTCCTCCACTTCGGTATGGTATGGTTGTCTGACTTTTGCTTTAAAATCCCTGCTTCTATAGTGCTCCCTCAAGGAGGAGGATCATCAGGTGGGTATAGAATAGTTTGCTTAAGAAGCTGGAAAAACCTGACAGATCTCCAGAACTTCAGTGCACTCAGTCTGGGCTAATAGCAGGCATTAGGACACACGGAAGGCTGCATGCAGGTTCAAGTCCCACCCCCAAAAAATGACAGGCAGGGGTTCTTCCCAGGCCACAGACCTCACACACATCTGCCTGCCTTCAGACTCAGGTGAAAAGTGGTCTTATGATCTGGGTTGGTTCCTTTAGCTCTTCGTATGTATAGTGGGAATAATCACCTCCTTAGGGTGTTGCAAAGACTGCATTATCATCCTCGTCCAGCACAGAAGACTAACTGTTTGGTCACTCAGGGGAAATTCTCAAGGCATCAGAAATAAAACACAGACACACAATTTATCTTTAAACCAAGCTCTGGGACGGCTCCTCGGCCCTCAGCCCTCGGCCTTCGGCCTCAAGCTCTCCAATGAGAGAACGAGAACTACACAAGAGGCTGGCAAGAGAGAGCAATCACACTTTGGAGTGGACTTTTATTAGGGGACTCAAAATTCTTGGGAAATCTCGTCCAATGAAGGTCAAGGGGGACAGGGTTGCAAGGACAGGTGAGGTGATTGGATCCCAGGGGATGTGGAGAAACACGCTCCTACACAAAGACACAGTCACTGGAACCCTAGAAGACCGGGGCTGTCTGGCAGTGTGACCATGACCGTGACCACTGCAGGATGCCACACTGCTCAGTAGGGGAGTGGACTCAGTCACTTGTGAGATTGGTCTCCCACACTACATGAGGTAACTAACACATGGAAAGACTCTAACATAGGCCTCAGCACCCATTAGCTGCCATAATTATATTTTCTTAGTGTTCCTAAAATTAGCAATAAAAGGAAAGTTAACAATAAAAGGAAAAATTAACAATAAAAGGAACAAAGATGCTAAGATGCTTAATTCAGTCTTTCCTTGGAACTCTGGAGACAGTGTAGCATTGTCTTCTCTCCTTTGATGTGGCAGAGAGATCATTCCACTCATTATTCTCTTTTCCAGAAAGTAACCTATTTTTTTGATCCTTGAAAATTAAGAAATTTCATCCAGATATATGGAGATGTTACTTCATTTTTTTTTTTGTACATTCATGGTGCTGGGCTAATGCTTTCTTTTCTTTTAAAAAAATATTTATTTTTAGTTATATGTGGACACAATATCTTTATTTTATTTTTATGTGTTGCTGAGGATTGAACCTGTATCTCATGCATGGTAGGCGAGTGCTCTACCGCTGAGCCACAACCCCAGCCCTGGGCTAATACTTTCAATCTAAAGAATCAAATTCTCTTCCAGATTAAGTACATTTTCAGGATTTCTTCTTTACTACTTCTCTTCTTCAGGATCCTTTACATGTATGTAAGTTCTTCTAGATTTGTTCTTCATGATTTAATGTTTTTTCATAATTTCACTCTTCAAATCTCTTTCCCTGAAGTCCTAGTGGGCTTCTTCAGGTTGATCTGTAAGTGACCGATGTGATTTTCTGTGTTCTCCAGTCTGACACGCTATTGCCTACAGTCTCCATGCAGACTTTTAATTTGACAGTTGTATTTCTCACTTCAGTCATCACTTTCTCATGCTCTGAGCTTTCCCTCTCTTCACAGGGAAGAACCTCTAGGATTGTGCCTATGATGGTAAGGGCTTCTGCCAGAGCACAGCTCTCCACTGTCATCAACGAATCCACGCTGGAGAGAAGCTGTACCCACAGTGTGCCAGGTGTGGCAGGGCTTCTGTCAGAACACAGAACTCTGTGTGTGTTCAAAAGCCACACGAGGGAGGCTGTTTGAAGTGGAACTCCTGAAATACAGACCTTCATGCTCTTTGAGTGAAGCCATTGGTTGGGGGAGAGTGGCAAGGACTTCAGCAGAGCTCTCACCCTAACAGTCTCATGGAAGAAACTGAAGAGGCCCTGCGACGTGTGGAAAGGCTTTCAGCCAGAGCACAGGTCTCTGAGTTTATCAAAGACTTTTCCCAAGAAAAACACTTACAAACCCTGCTTGAGGTGAAATCTTCAATTACTCAAGAATCTTCTTGTCCATGAGAGTCCACACAGGTGGAAGGACTGAGAAGTAAGTTCAAGTCTTCACAACAACCCACTTCCACACAGGAGGAAAACCCACAAGTAGGGAGACTGTGGTAAGAACATGGAGCACGTAGTGTCCCCTCTGCCAGAAAGTCTGTGTCTCCCACAAACCTGTGCATTCCACAAGAATGAAGCTATGTGTGCTTTTCTCACCTGCATCCCCAGCTCCTAACAGTGACTGGCACAGAGTAGCCTCTTCTCATTGCTCAATGAGAACCCATGAGTGAGAAAACCTCTGTTCATGTGGTATATGTGGCAAGGGCTTCAGAGTCCACGCTGAAATCTTCTCAAAACATCTGTTATGTAGTAAAGATTCCATCTGATCACGGATTTCATCATGAGTTGGTCCCTGCAGGACAGAAGTCCTGTTAACCTGAAGAATTGAGCAATGACCTTAATCAAAGATATATATTCAAATTATTGATCAGTGTTATAACTTTAAAATACCTCATCTTCAACATCAGGTAATCCACAATCCTCCAAACTGTCTAAATTATAAAATGTTAGTCAAAACTCCTAAGTTAGAAAATATAACTAATTACCATCAAAGAAAAGATCCTGTGAATAACCTAAGTGAATTTATGTGTCTGTACTGACCACGTTGACATAGTTTGAGTCAACCAGGTGTGGCTATTTTGTTTTACATTGCATCCTAAAAGACAAGTCAGACTCATCAAACACATTATCCAGGACCAGTGACTAACAAAGTCTTCCTCCTGGAAAGGGCCTAGCAAAGGGTCCCTTTCAGGCTAAAAGCCTATGACCATAATCTGGTGTCTTTATGTGCATCATGTCACCAGGCAACTTCACCAAATAAGGCACCTTTAGGATAAATGTCTACAGAAGAATTAGTTAGAGAAAGAGTCTAAGCGGGGTCCAAGGAAGGAGATTAGACAAGAGGAAAGCAAATCGAAAGGAAAGGGAAAGGAAGAAGAAACGGCTTCTGAGAGCTGAGTGGCAGGGCAGGGAGAAGAAAGCTTAGAGGCTTCTTCAAATGTATAGACCCACCCCACAGGGCTGCCCTTGGGGAGGTCTGTGATGATGTTATGGTTTGGATGTGAGGTGTCCCCCAAAAGCTCATGTGTGAGACAATGCAAGAAGGTTTAGGGGAGAAATGATTGGGTTATGAGAGCCTTAACGCAATCAGTGAATTGATCACCTGGTGGGATTAATTAAGTGGTAATTGAAGGCAGATGAGATGTGGCTGGAGGAGGTGGAGCATTGGGGGCACGGCTTTGGAGTATATATTTGTATCTGGTGAGTGGAGTCTCTCTCTGCTTCCTGATTATCATATGAGCTACTTCCCTCTACTACATTCTCCTTCCTCTATGACGTTCTGCCTCATCTGGAGTACCAAAGGATGGAACTGGCTTTCTATGGATTGTGACCTCTGAAACTGTGAGTCCTCAAACTTTTCCTCCTCCACAATTGTGCTGGCCAGGTCTTTTAATCACAGCAGCAAAAAGGCTGACTAAAACAGAAGAATAGAGAAGGACTCCACTGACATCAGGGACAAGTGGCACCAGAAATAGAGGAGCTGCTGTGAGGGCCTGGGAAGGCAGCTCATGCTCCAGTGTTTTCCAAGTGGCCCTAATCAAGGGGGACTGTTATCCTTTGAGTGGGACATAAAAGGTATGAAGACAACAATATGGCTGGCCCACTTCAGGTGGCATAAAAATCAGGGATCAGAGCCTGGGGACCCAGTGCTGAAGAGGGAAAACCTCAGGTAGTGGAGTAATGGGTAACATTCAGAAAGAATCAGTGATGGAGTCTCATCACTAAGTCTGTGAAGAGAGAAAGCATCAACATTTTCACCACATCTTTCACCTAACAGCAGGCATCCCCTCCGAGCTGTCATTTCTTGGTAATGGACTCTGAGGATTTCTACTTTGCTCTCTTCTTTCTCCATCTCTTTCTTTGTCTTTGATTCTCTCCATTTTTAGATTTAAAAAAATAATTTATATTATTTTGATAGCATAAAACATTTTAGACATACAGAAAAAAATAGGAAATACAATAGACAACCCTTTCCTCACTATTGAGATTGTTAAAAATTTTGCCATATGAAGCTGAGCACAGTGGTGCATGCCTGTAATCCCAGCAGATTGGGAGGCTGAGACAGGACAGATCTAGCGTTCAAAGCCAGGACTGGGGTTGTGGCTTAGTGGCAGAGTACTTGCCTTGAACTGGGTTTGATTCTTAGCACCACATAAAAATAAACAAAATAAAGATATTGTGGGCTGGGGATGTGGCTCAGGCGGTAGCGCGCTCGCCTGGCATGCGTGCAGCTCTCAGCACCTCAAACAAACAAAGATGTTGTGTCCGCCGAAAACTGAAAAAAGAATAAATGTTGAAAAACTTCTCTCTCTAAAATAAATAAATAAAAATAAAGATATTGTGTCCATCTATAACTAAAAAATTTTAAAATATATATTTTTCAAAAAGAGTTCAAAGCCAGCCTCAACAAAAGCAAGGCACTAAGCAACTCAGTGAGACCCTGTCTCTAAATAAAATTAAAAATAGGGCTGGGGATGTGGCTTAGTGGTTAAGTGCCTCTGAGTTCAATCCCTGGTAACTCCCCCCAATTTTTTTTTGCCATGTGAATTTCAAATCTTTGTTGTCAAGGAATAAAACAACAGATGCTGCTAAAGCCTCATGGCCTGTTTCTTCCACTAGCTCTGCTGGGAAGCAGCCACATTTCCTGAATTGCTGTGTATTGTCCTGTGGGTTTTGTATTTTGATTATGTGGATGTCCTAGTATTAAAAATGTTTACATCAATTATATTGCATTATGATTACCATTTCCTTTTTTCACTGAACATCACATTATTAGATTTTTAAAATATATATATGTATGTATATATATATATATATATATACACACACACATAGATAGACAGACAGATATAGATATATATATTTAGTTGTAGTTGAACACAATATGTTTATTTTATTTATTTATTTTTATGTGGTGCTAATGATCGAACCCAGGGCCTCGCATGTGGTAGGTGAGCGCTCTACTGTTGAGCCACAACCTCAGCCCACATTATTAGATTTTTAGTGCTGATGCTTTAGAATTAGTTTATTGATTTTAACTTCTGTCATAGAGATTTTTTAACAGATTCTTATAAACTTGTGATAATGACACATTTTTGACTATTACAGCTCTGTAGAAATTGTTGTGGCTAATTAAAGCCCTTTATTCTTTCAGACAAACTATAGGATCAGTTTGTCAAATTCTTTGAAAGAAATCTGTTGAATTAGGTGGGGGTATTCCTTTTCTCTCCTTTCTTTTCTTCTATTGGATTGTGTTTTCTTTATTCTCCATTTCCTCTACAGAATTAGTAGTCGATTTTCTCTTTTTGATTTATGTTAACATATATAATTTAACAAAGACCATAGGGGCTGGAGTTCAGTGGTTGAATGCTTGCCTCGAATGAGTGAGGCACTGGGTTCAATCCTCAGCACCATGTAAAATAAATAAATTAATTAATTAAAGATATTGTGTCTATCTACAACTAAATTATAGTCTTTTAAAAGACTATAATTTAACAAAGACTTTAACATATACAATTTAACAAAGACTAGTTTTCTTTCTCCCATGTTCTATGTTATGGGTTTAATTTTGTCACATTTTTAATGTGGTCCCAAATTTGTCATTATTATTAATATTGTAAATAGCCAGTGCAAGTTTGGATTAATCTACACATTTGACAGTTTCTTACTACCGGTTTTTACATTTCCTTTTTCCTTCTGAGTTTAATGTCTTTGGCCTCCTGGAGCAGAGACAGCTTATGTAGTGGTAAAAGCACCAATTCTGCAGCCAGATGGCCTTGGTGTGATATCTAGCTCTGTCACCCTCTATGTGTGCCCTTGAGCAGATTAATTCATTTCTTTGTGTCTTGGTTTCTCCATTTGTGAAAGAGGGACAATCATATTATTTACTTCATTAGGTTATTATGGATCAAAAAAAAAATCAAACAAACAAAAACAAAACAAAACCCCAAACAAACAACAACAAAAAAGGATCAAATGAATAAAGATATATAAAATAGGGCCTGGTACACAGTAAGCCTTATAAAAGTATTTTGCGTATAAATAAAATAAATATCCCGACTGGGTTTGTGGCTCAGTTGCAGAGCACTTGTCTCGTACATGTGAGGCACTGGGTTCGAGCCTCAGCACCACATAAAAATAAATAATAAACAAAATAAAGATCGTGTCTATGTGTAACTAAAAAATATTTTTAATTTTTTTCCAAATACTTAAAAAATTTTTCAATAAGTCTGAGAGTAATAAGTTCTTTGTTTCTGTATTTCTTTTCTTTTCTTTTCTTTTTTTTTTTTTGGTACTGGGGATTGAACTTGGGGCCCTGGACCACTGAGCCACATCCCCAGTATTTTATTTAGAGACAGGGACTCACTGAGTTGTTTAGCATCTCACCATTTCGGAGGCTAGCTTTGAACTCACAATCCTCCTGCCTCTGTCTCCTGAGCCGCTGGGATTACAGTTACAGGCATGCACTACTGCATGAGGCTTGTATCTCTCCTTTACTCTTGTATTATAACTGGGTATAGAATTCTAAATTCAGATTTATTTTTCCTCAGTGATTCCTTAGCCTCTAAATGCTGCTTTTGAAAAATCTAGGGGTTGGGGTATAGTTCAGTGATAAAAAGAATGCTTAACAAGTGAGGGGGCCCTGGTTTTAATGTACAGCACCAAAAAAATGAAAAAGAGTCTGTTATTAGCCCTATTAATAGTCTATCTTTTCTGTATGACCAGTTTTAAGATTATCCCTTACAAAAACAAAGCAAAAAAAAAAAAAGATTATTCTCTTACCTTTATTTTGCAAAACCCTCAAAAGCAGAAAAGTGTCCTGCCATGTATCTATGAGTTTGTTTATGTTATTCCTAATTAGGACATTATGCTTCTTTCTAGATTTTATTTTAATTTTTAGATCTTTATTATAACTTATTACTTCTTTTATATTTGTCATACTTTCCTGTCTCCTTGAGTTGCGTGTTTAGAGCTTATTATTTTAGTCTCTCTTGTTTTCTTATAAATGTATTTCAGTGAGTTACATTTCCTCTGAATGCTTTGCCAGCATCCTTTCCAGAATATAGCTTGGAAAAAGTATCCAAAGCCTTCAAAATATTTATGCCGACTGACTCAGAAATTTCTTAGCTAAGAATCTCTGTTAAGCAATAATCAGATGCAGTGTACAAAAGGAATACATTAGCATGTTACTTGTACTATTATTATTGTTTTTTGTGGTACTGAGGATTGAACTCAGGGGTGCTTTATTGCTCAACTATATCCTCAGCCATTTTTAATTTGAGACAGGATCTTGCTAAGTTGCCAAGTCTGGCCTCAGACTTGTGATCTTCTTGCCTCATCCTCCAGAGTAACTGGCACTATAGGTCTGCACCTTGGCATCTGGCTTTATTTTCCAATTTTTAATGGTACCTATTCTAATGGGAGTGAGTTACTATCTCATTGTAGGTTTGTTTTTTGGGTACCGGGGATTGACCTCAAGGGCACTAAACCACTGAACCACATCCCTAGGCCTTTTTTGAATTTTAGAGACAGGGTCTCACTGAGTTGCTTAGGGCCTCGCTACATTGCAGAGGCTGGCTCTAAACTCAACGATCCTCCTGTTTCAGCCTTCCAAGCTGCTGGGATTATAGGCATGCGCCACCACGCCCCGAACATTATAGTTTTGATTTGCATATTCCTAAATATTAGAGATGTTGAGCACATTTTTATCTGCTTATTAGTCACTTATATAACTTCTTTAGAGAAGCTCCTATTTAAATATTTTGCCCATTTTTAAATTAGATTATTGTTATTGTGGGGTTTTAGGAGTTCCCTATATAAGGTGGATATTAATCCCTTATCAGATATGACTTGCAAATATATTCTTTTATCCCATGGGTTGCCTTTTTATTGATAGTGCCTTTTATTTTTTTAAAAAAAGTATTTTTTAAATATTGTTTAGTTGTCAATGGATCTTTATTTTATTTATTTGTGTGTGGTGCTGAGAATCGAACCCAGTGCCTCACACATGCTAGGCAAGCGCTCTACCACTGAGCCACAATCCCAGCCCCTATTGATAGTAGTGCCTTTTGATGCACAAAAATTTTTACATGAACTCCAATTTATTTTTTTAAAATATAAAGTCAAATCCTGTTTTTCTTCTTTTTTTGTAATTTTTAAAATTTGTTTTAATTAGTTATACATGACAGTGGAATGCACTCTGACATATCATACATAAATGGAGTATAATTTCTCATTCTTCTGGTTGTACTTGATGTAGAATCACACTAGTCATGTAGTCATATATGTACATTGTCGGGAGCCACTCTGGACAGGAGCTGTGTGTGTGGCGAACCAGCCGTGGGCTGTGTGTGTGAGCATTTTGAGTGCACAAAGCAGACTGGACTGATGGTGCTGCTCTGTCTGGGCTGTGAGAGTTGTGTCCCTTTGGCTTGCTCTGCCTTTGATCCCCACACAGCACATGAGATGGGCATGGCCTTCCAAGATGTCAGTCAACCTGCTGACCTGCTAGACACCATGAAGCTAGATTCAACCCCCTGAAACCTGACCCCTGGCCTCATTTGGATGGCTTCTCCCCAATAAAACCAGGTTCTAGGCATGCTCTCTCTCTTTTTTTGCCTGCCTTGCCTCTGTTGTGGGAGCTGGCTCAGAGGGGCCATCACAGAACCCAAAGAAAAAGGTATTTCTCTGTCTGTGTGTCATTATTTCAGATCAACCCAGTTCTCCTAGAGTGACCCTGACTGGTTTAGTCCTGTGTCGTGTCAGTACATAGGGCAATAATGTCAGGTTCATTCTATTATCTTTCCTACCCTCTAAACTTCCCCTCCCTTCACTCCCCTCTACCTATGTAATCCAAAGTAACTCTATTCTTCCCTAGTGCCACCCCATTTCGCTCCATTGTGAATTAGCATCTGCATAACAGATGTTTTTTTTGGGATTGGCTTATTTCACTTAGCTTGGTATTCTCCAGCTTCATCCATTTACTGGCAAATGCCATAATATCATTTTATGTAAGGCTAAGTAATATTCCATTATACACACACACACACACACACCACATTTTCTTTTTAAAAATATTTTAAAATTGTCAATGGATCTTTTATTTTATTTATTCATTTATATGTGGTACTGAGGATTGAACCCAGGGTCACACATGCCAGGCAAGTACTCTATCACTGAGCCACAACTCCAGCCCTATACCACATTTTCTTTATCCATTCATCTGTTGAAGGACACTTAGGTTGGTTCCATACTTTAGCTACTGTGAGTTGAGCAGCTAAAAACATAGCTGTGGCTGTGTCACTGTAGTATGATGATTTTAAATCCTTTTGGTATAAACCAAGGACTGGTTTATAGATAGCTATATCTATTGCCAGAAACTCCCTAAAACACCCCTCATAATGAATTTGGAAATTCAGTTAAGCCTCCATTGCTCTCACTTGCCACTGAGTCACCTTCAGTGTTGTTTCTTTTCCCTGGATGTCACCGCCATAACAACTCCATCTCTTTAGCTCCCATTCTTTTTTTAGAAGTCCCCCAAGAAGTCTCTCTCTCTCCCCTGCACCACCAAGTCTAGCATGGGCACCCTCCCATGTTTTCCATGGCACCCTGGGCTTCCCCTATTAGCACTGAGCTCCCCAAAATGGAGGAAACATCTCTGCTCAGTGAGTTTCTTTTTAAAAGTATTTTTTAATATTTAGTTGTAGTTGGTCACAACACCTTTATTTTACTTGTTTATGTTTTTATGTGATGCTGAGGATCGCACATGTGAGCCACAACCCCAGCCCCTCTGCTCTGTGAGTTTCTAATGTGGAAGCCTAACACAACAAATAGAGGGAGATTCTAAACTCTCCTTGACCCATTCTCCTGCTCCAAAACTTTCCCTAGGTTTCCATGCTAGTGTTTAGGTTTTTTTTCTTTT